AGCGTTTGATACATACGACTGCTCAGCCGGAAAACAGATAACCGTAATCAATATTCATATAATTAACAAAAGAAGCCCTCAGTAAAAGACTTTCTTCCTTAAAGGAAGTTCTCGAATGTAGGTTTCTTTCCAAAGGAGCTTTATGATTTAATGCCTCTGTCCTCGGATGTTGAGTGAAAGCATCTTCCAAAAAATTACTTTTTTCGGCTGGGGGTGTGCGATAGACTTACCTCTACGTGGTGCACCCTGGGCAACGTATACTCATACGGCGAAAAAGTCTATTAACCGGCATTTGTCTTCTGACTTCAAACTACCATGGCCCGACTGCTTGTCATATTCGACCCCTTTCACAGTACTCATCTTACCTTTTTCTCTACCTTTGTGTCTGTCTGCCTCTTTTACATCTGTGAATCGCTCTTCTGTTCCCCACCCCTCGACTTTCTTCTAATTTGATGAACCTTCCCCCTGTGAAGCCCGAAGTCAGCTAAATGGCTAATGATAGCTATCAAAACGCCTGCCATTTGAAATAAATAAATAAATACTTTTTTCGGCTGTAATCCATACTTGGGAAAGGAGTTGTGAATTTGTGGTTTCCACATCAACAATGAACATTTGTGAATTAGTGTTTGACATATGTAAGGCAAGTTTACTATTTGACCTAATAAACTCGCATTTCAAAATCTTCGTAATTAATGTTCCAGTATGTTGTAAGACACATATTGAGTGTTTATAACCCCCCAACTCAGAGTTTAACCAATATGAATATCGGTTAAAATGCGACTCTATTGATTACAAATAAGTAGCAATGTTTTGTTATTTCTCTTTTTAATGGAGCATATCACATCAAATATGGCGTTAGTACATGAGGATATACTTAATTAGTACACAATTAGCAATGTCAATACAAAGAAAGCTCATTAAAATTGGAATAAAGAGGCTCGAACCAGTCCCCTAACTGATGCAGAAATGCTCAGTTACGGCCGTTTTTGTTCTCTACTTATTATCAATCATCAAAGCCTCCTGTCCATGGTGTACTCGGATTCGAATACATATGGTCTTTATCTATTCCAACATTAGCGGTTTAGCACTGAGAATACGCCATAAGCCTTGGCAAATTATGATCTAAACATTACATGAAAAGTGGTCTAGGCACCTGTGTCATCGCGTAAGCAGACAAATCCTCAATTTCGGTACCACTGGTATGGAACTACGACATGTTCCCTTCTTTTCGTTGAACAACTACTTTTTTCTGCTTTAAATCTCCGCATTTATGCAATCCTCCAAATACCTTAATGCATATTCCGATTCGTTGGGTGTGCGATAGACTTACCTCCACGTGGTNACCACGTGGAGGTAAGTCTATCGCACACCCCATGTGCCTATCATATATATCGGTTATTTAGATTGACCGAAATCCTCTCCATACTCATATTTAGTTAGCGAAGATCCACGCGCTAATCGACTGTAAATGAAGTGAACTAGTTCTTGCCCGAAATTCGAGGCAAGATAATGTGTAGAAATGAATGAATGATTGCATGAAACTTTAGTGAAAATGTTTGAAAGCTGCTCATAAATAATTCCTACGAAATCTTATAGCCATTTATAAAGAGAACAATTTAGCCTTTAATTTTTTTTTCTCATCCATAAAATTTGTATATTTATTTTTTGTGTTTACTGATTAGGCAGTTAGGGTGGGATTAATCTTCTTCAAAGGCAGTTAAGATTTCCAAGAAATTTCATTTTGTTATTTTTTTTCTAAAAAAATAGTTAATTCACTTCCAAACACCACAATGATGAGCGAGTAAGAATATTGTCTCATGAGTGGCTGGAAGTGGTTTCAATATATACTCACCTGGGAAATTTGGCCCATTTTAATTGATTTATTGATTGATTGGATAAATGGGAGATTGCATTTTTCTCAGGCCGTGTAATTGCAATCCCGGTGGAAGCCACAACAACATTCCACAATGCGATCCCTACACCGGCGACTGCACATGCAAAGCCAACGTCATTGGAAGAACTTGCGACAGGTTAGTCCACTTTGCGTGTCTGCGCTAGAACCATCTATATTTCCATCTTTGACTAACTTGATTGTATTGGCAATTTCTCTTCTTCCCCACCCCACCCCACCCCCCTCCACCCCTCAAGGTGTAAGCCGGGCACTTACGGTATGATGGACAATGACCCGCTTGGATGCAAGCAGTGCTTCTGTAGTGGCCACTCATCCGAATGCACACTTGGACGGGAGGTTGATGGACAGATTGTACCAAGTAAGTTACCCCCCCCCCTATTTTTTCAAATGGCAGGCTTTATGATATTTACCATTAGCCCTTAAACTTTGACTTCAGCTTCCCCCAAGGGTGGGGGTACATATATAGCAGTTAATTAATAGCAGTTCATTAGCTGTCTTCTTGCTTCCCAGTATCTCTGGCTTTCCGTCGTTGTCTTTAGGGCTGGACACCGAATCAGGTGGGTCTTCTCCATCTCCTCCTGTAGGTTACATAGAGGGCATGTGGGTTGAGTGCATAGTCCTAATCTGTGAAGGTGTTTTGCCAAGCAATCGTGTCCGGTACTTAGTCTAAACTCAGCAACGGTTTCGATTNTTATGCAATCCTCCAAATACCTTAATGCATATTCCGATTCGTTGGGTGTGCGATAGACTTACCTCCACGTGGTACACCCTAGGCAAACATACACTCATACGGCAAAAAAGTCTATTAACTGGCAGTTGACTTCTCACTTCAAGCTACCATCACCCCACTGTATGCCATATTCTACCACTTCCACAGTAATCATTTTACCTTTTCTCTGCCTCTGTCTCTTTTACAACTGTAAACCACTCTTCTGTTCCCCACCCATCGAATTTCTATTACTTTGACGTTCCTTTCCTCTGTGAAGCCCGAAGTCAGCTAAAGGGCTAATGATAACTATCAAAACGCCTGCCATTTGAAATAAATCAATATTCCAATTCGTTGAAACTCCCCTGTGAGTCAAAATAAGCAGGCCTCACATCAGCCACTTGCAAATTCGAGCCTTTTGCCGACACACACTAAGCCACCTTTTATTAAGGAATGACGTACAAACGCCCTCGATGGGAAAAATTAATGTTGGCCTATGGGTCGCATTAACTTCAGGCAGCCGCGTTCACCCCTGCTCACCTCTTTATTCACTTCAGTTCACCGTTGGACTGAAAACACGTAAATATGAGGTTTGTACGCGTCGTTCTAGGGCCAAGGCTTCGTTGGGCGGTTCTATTTTAATTAAGTTTTGTATTGCTTGTAAATTAGCTGAATTTGGTATGACTTACGTGTTGAAAGGTTAAATTCTAACTCCTTAGCAATTCAATAGGAAGCATTGACATTATTTTGAATTTCAACAATTATAAACGAATGGGATAATTTAAAACAATTTTATTTGTGTTCATCCATTTTTACTTATGAGGGAACGGAATTTTTGTGTATTTAATTATAGCAAAACACGGACTTTTTGTTAGTTATCATTAGGCCTTTAGCTGACTTCGGGCTTCACGGAGGGTGGGAGGGGAGGAAGGCCCATTAAGTCACAAAAGTCAAGAAGGGGAACCGAGGCTTGACTCACAGATGCAAAACAGGCAGACAGACACAAAGGTAGAGAAAAGTGTAAGGAAAGGTGAGTACTACAAAAGTGGTGGAATATGACATACAGTGGGGTCATGATAGTTTGAAGTTAGAGGTCACCTGCCGGTTAATAGACCCTATTTACCGTATGAGTATACGTTGCCTAGGGTGTACCACGTGGAGGTAAGTCTATCACACATTGCGCAAAGGCGGAATCCGCGAGCGATGTAAAGCTAGCAGCGTGGGTACGTTCCAGCGAACGGAACTAAATTCTCCAAATCTTTAGTACCGACTTCTTGAAGCCTAAAAAAATATTATTCAAATTATTGCAAATAAAATAACAGTGGAGAAATGCTAACTCCATTTGGTATAATGAACNTTAGCCCTTAAACTTTGACTTCAGCTTCCCCCAAGGGTGGGGGTACATATATAGCAGTTAATTAATAGCAGTTCATTAGCTGTCTTCTTGCTTCCCAGTATCTCTGGCTTTCCGTCGTTGTCTTTAGGGCTGGACACCGAATCAGGTGGGTCTTCTCCATCTCCTCCTGTAGGTTACATAGAGGGCATGTGGGTTGAGTGCATAGTCCTAATCTGTGAAGGTGTTTTGCCAAGCAATCGTGTCCGGTACTTAGTCTAAACTCAGCAACGGTTTCGATTCTTGGCCAGTTGGCTATGTCGGAGAGTGTCACTGCCCACTGTTTCTCCTTTGTTCGAGCTTTATGTTCGTTGCACCTATTTAGACGATTAAATACTCATTCCCCCTCTCCTCCCGATTACACTTACAAGTCATCGTTATTTTCAGTGGAAGAGAGTACATTGAAGGCGCTGGAGGAGGATGGAAAAGTGATTTTCAGCTGTCCAAACGGAACCTCTCCGTGCTCAGTTTGCTTCAGACAAGGTTCGTTCAATTATTTCAAATATTATTAAATATGCTTTCTTTTTCCTATTTTCTACGGTGCTCAAAATATCAGGCGATATTGCGCAAACACCACGATACTAAGGTTGGATATTATTGTAATAACCACAAAGAACAAGGCCTTTATAATCGAGGCTAAAACGATTCAGCGTAAAGTGATCTTTTTTTAAAATGCAAACAATAAATTTAGCCTGGTGGTAACTTATTGTACAAATTATTGGCTTTAATAGTTCCCTGCCCGTTATCAAAATTTATTAGCATAATGGGGAGTTATAAAGAAATATTTCTAAATATAAACATTTTCAAAGACTGGCTCATTTTAAGTTATCGTGCTAGTCACGAAGTCTGTGTTGTAGCAGATTGTGACACGCATAAGCCCTCACTCAACCACCTCTTCTATGGCAAGTTCGCCCAATTTGAAATTGATCCTGGAAACTGTTGTATGGTGAGGAATACGTTTATTTGGACTGTGTTTGATGGCGTGAAGTTTAATCATTGACCTGCAAAGACTATTAATTAATTAATTATTTATTTATTTATATCAAATGGCAGGCGTCTTGATGGTTATCATTAGCCCTTTAGTTGCCTTCAGGCTTCACAGAGGGGAAGGAACATCAATTTGAAAAAGTCGAGAGGGGGAAGAGAGGAGTGTTTCAAAGATGTAAGAGACGAACACAAAGGTAGAACAAAGGTGAGGTGAGTACTGTGGGAATAGTCGAATATGACATAGAGTGGGGTTATGGTAGTCTGAAGTGAGAAGTCAATTGCCAGTTAATAGACTTTTTTGCCGTATGAATATACGTTGCCCAGAGTGCACCACGTGGAGGTAAGTCTATCGCACACCCCGACTTTTAATTATTGGTTAATCAAGATCTTATTTGCTTCCTAGCACGATCGGCGTCACGGCGGTATCTCTCAGAATGTTCGAGGGCGCATTATTTTGCTTAGTGTAATTGTGTACTCTACAAAGACTTCAACAATTAATACTGAAATCGAATTTTCTTCTA